TTGCAACGCGTTGACTGGCGTTGACCTAGGGTTACGCGTTGACCGGTGTTGACCTTAGGGTTTCGAATCGTCAAATGTTGACCTTGGTTGTCCTTAGGGTTTTGAATGCCGCAACGCGTTGAAAGGCGTTGACCTAGGGTTACGCGTTGACCGGCGTTGACCCTAGGGTTTCGACCGTCGAATATTGACTTTTTGTCACAACGCGTTGACTGGCGTTGACCTAGGGTTACACGCTGACCGGCGTTGACCTTAGGGTTTCGAATCGTCAAACGTTGACCTTGGTCGCAACGCGTTGACTGGCGTTGACCTAGGGTTACGCGTTGACCGGCGTTGACCTAGGGTTACGCGTTGACCGGCGTTGACCCTAGGGTTTCGAATGCCGCAACGCGTTGAAAGGCGTTGACCTAGGGTTACGCGTTGACCGGCGTTGACCTTAGGGTTTCGAATGCCGCAACTCGTTGAAAGACGTTGACCTAGGGTTACGCGTTGACCGGCGTTGACCTTAGGGTTTCGAATCGTCAAACGTTGACCTTGGTCGCAACGCGTTGACTGGGGTTGACCTAGGGTTACGCGTTGACCGGCGTTGACCCTAGGGTTTCAAATCATCAAACGTTGACCTTTGTGGATTTCGAATCCTCGAACGTCCAACAACCGGCGAAAATAGGCGAATTCGGACTTCGAAAAAAGGTTCGGGGGGGTCAAAATTGGGTTAAGACACCCAAGGGGTGTCTCAACAAAACCGAGACACCCTTGGGGTGTCTCGGTTTTGCCGAGACACCCCTTGGGGTGTCTTGGCCAAAACCGAACACCCCCCCTCTCTTTTTTTCCTTCTTTTGAATTTTCTTTCCTCTTTTGTTTCCCCCCCTTTTCCAAATTCTTTTCAAAAGAGATTCTTTCTTCTTTTAAACTCCTTCTTCTTCCTTCATCCTTCCACCATTGTTTCCTCTCTTTCAAGAACTCCAAACCCACACAAATTTTTCGGATTTTTGTTCCCCTCTTGGCCGAGATTAATCACTCCTCCAAGCTAGGGTTTCATCATCTTCAACCTCAAGGAAAGCTTTTTGATTTGGTAAGTTCCCCTTCACAACTCTTTTCTTTTTCAAGAAAGATCATACCTTTATGTTTGTGATGGGGGTATACTATGAACTCTTATGCAAAGATCACAACTTTTTGCTCTCAAGATGACGGGTTGTGTATGCACAAGTATTTGGGGGGTTTTATGCAAAATTACAATATGGCCGAATTTTGGGGGCTTTTGTGCAAAAGTGGACTGAAATTTGAGGGTTTTTATGTAAAGTGGACTGAAATTTAGGACTGAAATTTTACCCCCCCTTTGGCCGAAATTTGATAGGTGTTTGCATGCGAAAGAATCAATGTTGTTTGAGGGGTTTATTTGCAAAAAAGCGACTTACAAAGTGTAGAGGGGTTTATTTGCAAAATGGCTGAAATTTTAGGGCTGAAATTCCAAAAGTTTAGACCACAAACCCATGACCAAAGTTTTGAGAAAGGCATGTGGATGTTAAACTGAAATTTGTGAAGGGGTCTATATGCAAAATTGGCTAAATTCTACAAAAGGGTTTATTTGTAAAATTAACCAAAATTGTTGGGTATCGGGGGTGCTATATGATCAGATATGACGACCATGACCCAACTCGAGCGTGTCCTTGACCCGAATTTAGCCTTGAACACGAAGGGTATTTTGGGTATTTCACCAAAATTCACCGCAAAAATGACAATCATTGTTTCACATGCACGAAATTTATAGATTTAACTAGACTTCAACTATAAAATCCTATTTATACATAGGATTTTAATTAAAGTTCTTAATTTCCCTTTTAAATTTCGTGTATTCATATTTTAGATTGTACCTGACTTGCTGCTTTTCATTGCAGATTTTCGATGTCTCCGCGCCGAACAGCGAGGAAGAGATTCCCACGGCATCTTTTCCAGCGGCCTCTTTCTTTGGGGGTGAGAATTTACATTTTCTGTATCCCTGATTAACCTCTTCGCGGGTCATGAAGGAAGAACCGACACCCTCCTTCGCGGGGGTTAAGGTTTCGGACTTGCCTTGCTTGGCCAATTCAAGTCTTCTGGTATATTTGGGCGATTTTTGTGTCGTCCTACACTTTATAGGTCGGTGTATGTTACCACATTGTTTATGTGATGATGCATACCGTTCTTCCAGTGTAGGACACTCAAAATCATCTCTCCAATTATTCCGTGAATGAGCTTAACTTTCTTCTTATGAGATGGATTTTCTGACTCTATCCTTGTGTTTTATTGCAGTGGAGTTTCCTGCGGGCAGCCTTCCTCCTCATGCCAATTCTGGTTGTAGCCGGGAGGTCTTCTCCTCAGCTTCTCTCAGGCAGGCCGTTGGTCCACTCCCTCGGTTTGACAGAGATCGCTCTGACGAATCCTGTCGTTTGATACGGGATGGAGGGCGTCATTGCTTACGCCAGCTGATTACGGATGCTTCTTTTACTGCGGATTCCGTTTCTACTCTGGCTTTAAAGAAGCCCAGTTTTCTGTTTGGAGATCATATTGAGGATCCTGCTAAGTTGATTCTTACCGAGGAGCATTGGCTGAATCTTGATGAAGGAGCTCTCCTGTATATTCCCTCCATTCCTCGTCAGTGTTCTTTCACTCATTTGGAGGGACAGGCCGTAGAGAGACAGATGCCCTGGCGTCTTACCGATGATGCTGATCGAATGCTATGGTTGGGCTTCCTCACTAGCCAAGGGATGGTGGGCACGCATGACCAGTTTCGTCTTGGCGCGTTGGGAGAGGGATTTGAAGAGCAGTGGATTGTATGCACCTATACGAGCCACTATGTACGGACTCCCGGTCAGCTGTCGTCATTTTTTAGCGCTGTTAGAGACATACATGCCTGATAGTAACACCTTCCTGACCAGCGGGGGCGAGTTAGGATTGGCCTTGCATGAGATGCATCAGGTTTCTGGTCTTCCGATGGGGGATTGTCCATATCAGGAGTATTTTCCCTCGAACCAGCAGTTGGAGTGTATGAAGAAAGATACTCCCGATATGTATGACACTCTCTGGGATATTACTTTTCACTATTATACCTCCTTGGTCCAGACTTCTGCTCTAGCGAAAAGGAAGAGGCAGATCAGCTTGAAGCAGTTTGCTAGCTATTTGTTCCAGAATTTGAAGGGTAATTCCAGCGAGCCCATTCGTGAATTAGACATGTTGACCCCTACCGCAATTAATGAGTTGTTGGAGAAGGCTGAGGCTCGTTCTTACACCATTGCCAGTGCTGAGGGAGCTTTTCCTGCGGGAACCAAGTTTCGTTCGTTTCTCTGCCGTGC